TGTTGAGTTGGGTTGAGTTGTGTTGGGTTGTGTTGTGGTTGGTACCCTCGTGGGGAGTTGAAAAATGGTTGTTCGGTGCCCATAACCATCCGTATAATAACCGGTAAATGAGGGAGATGGTTTTAAAAATTGAAAAATGGTTTTTCGGTGTCCACAACCGTCCGTATAATAGCCGATAAATGTGGGGGTGGTTTGAATTCAAGGTGCCCAATTGCCCTGTCTAGGCTTATCGCTGGACGAATGTGGGAAAAGTGTTTTTGGGTGTCCACATAGTCCTGTCGTATTGTAGCCGGCAAAAGTGGAAAAATGATTTTTGGGTGTCCACACAGTCCTACCGTATAGTAGCCGGCAAAAGTGGAAAAATGGATGGTTTTTTAAAATGTTTTGGGTTCCCACGTCCTGCCATAATAGTTGGCAAATGTGGGGGTTGGTTTTTAAAAGGTTGAAAACGGTTTTGGGAAAAGACATGGTTTTTGAGAAAATAATTTTTGGGAGTTCACTTCCCGCCGTATAATAGCCGGCAAAAGGTGGAATGTGCTATGAATTGACTGCCTGCTTTCCTGTCGTATCAAGTCGGCAAAAGGTGGAATGTGTTGTGACGTGTGTTGAGGTCGGTGATGATATATGTGACTTGTGATGAACTTGTGAAATTACTATCTGATGTTTAAACTGGTATGGAATGGAAATGCTTATGAGAATTATTTGAAAATAATGGATAATGAAATGGTAATTGGATGAGGGGTTAATGATAAAGAACTCACCGGATTGTTTGCATCTATAAGGAAAAATTAAGAGTTTTGTTTTGTGATTAATTGAGAAATTGAATTAAAAAGGGTTATTGTCCATGTGATATGTTGAATTATGATTGATAACACACATGTGGATATGATGTGGTTATGATATGTTGAATTATAGTTGATAATACAAGTGTGGATGTGACGTAGTTGTTAGATAAGTAGGAGTTGGGTGTAGGATAACAATTATTGACTATAAAAGAGATTTGGATTTTTACATTGAGGAGTAACAGCAAATATGAATAGATTGATGAGAATAGCATGTATGTAGGATGTTTGGAGTGTTAAGGGAACTTGAACTTGAGGGTATGGCGTTATAATAAATGTAACTAGGAAAATGGGAGAATGGGAATAAAAAGAGGAATGTTAAGATGGAAATTAAATGAGGAATATTATGGAATGGGTTAATGAAATTAAAATGATGTTGTTCCTTAAATATATTTGTTTTCAAAAAGGATTTTATATTTTTTCTGATAAAAAGTGATAGTTTTGATGGTTGAGGGTTTTCTTTACAATGTTTCAAATAAACTTTGAGAAAAAGGTACTCTACGTATGATATTATGAAATTACAAAACATTACTTTACTCTATGGTATCACCCTGTATGCATGATGATTTCTATCTATAGGATGGTTATTGTTTTAGAACTGCGAGATTCCTACTGAGCAATTGTGCTCACCCTTGTTGTTTCATTTTTTTTTACAGGAGGAGATTTCGGATTGTTTAGTTGAAGGATTAGGAAGTTCATGTATCTCTTATGTGTAATCTCATTGCACATTGATGGTTGTATTTATTTATTTGTAGCTCCACAGTGGAAGTGGGAATGTATTATTATTATTGTTGTACTCATCATGAGGGAGAGAACATGTACTATTATGTTTCTATTACTCAAGGGTAACAGATATTTTTAATTTTTTTAAAAAAAAATGGACCTAAATTTTAGGCTCTTGATAATGTTTTCGAGTAATTAAAATTTGGGGCGTGACAGGTGCCATCTTACCGTTAGGACTACCACGGTGCTGCCTAAATTAGCATCGAGACATGTAAGCTCGGTTGAGTGTGGTACCAGCCAAGGTAAGAGTTGCAACCATCTCATTTGGTTGGCAGTGAGTAGGGTGTTATCAAGATAGACATTATCCTTGGGAGTGTGATTCCTAAGAGGACTCTGCTAAGGAGAGTTAGAATCCTACTAGGATTGTGCCAAGCGGAATCTATAAAAGCTCATGACAGGACCCATGCAAAGGTATCCCAATTCTTACTCTCAAATACACAGAGTTTTTTTGTCTATTGTCTATTTTGCTAACTTAGGCATCAGAGAGGTTTCCGACACACACTTGCCAGCTAGCTCACATTGGTGTTTTCAGGTAGTAAAGCGCCAACATTTGGAGGAGTCCAAACTTGATCAACAGGATTATACGAGAAGATTATTCTGTGCTCGTACAAAATCTTACAAACTCACCCTTTGTAAAATGAGAGATTTTAAGAAATTTTATAAATTGAATCTTGGGTAATTTTATTTACATACCACTAATCCTCTCAATACACATAATTACTTAGTAAACACACATAATAACTTTTAGGGTTTAAAAATATCTTAGTTTACACCTTAACTTTCCATTACTAGCCCTAAGGTAATACACCACCTGTCTATTTGAGTGCACATCACAACCTACACATAAATATTGCTATCTTCAAAATACCAGAGACCTCCATCTTCAAAACACCATAGATCTCCATTGTCGGTGTTGAAGATCTCCATTGCCCCCAGAGGGTTTCATTCAGCTAGCGCATTCTTGTCATTTCAGATCTCTATCATCACCGTCGTTTCGCCGTTGGCTTACTAGTGCATTGTCGTCGTTTCAAATCTCCATCTTCATCGTTGTCTCGCCATTGTTTCGCTGGTGCATTGTCGGGGTTGAAGATTTATCATTCTCACCCTTGATTCACACCTTTGATTCTCACCTTAATATGTTTTTCCTATCTTCTTTTCATTTGGTTACCGATTCAACTCTCATAGCAATTTCTATTTCAAGTTTGGCTCAATTCTGGTTATCTAAACATAATATTATCATACAAAAAAATAAAATCAAACAAATTGAATATGTTCAAAATATTTATGTTGAATAAAATAAATACATTCATACTTTATATACTGAACAATTTCAACTCGTTCAAACTTATTATGTTGGACATTGATTAAATTTTATATGTTATCTATTTATTTATTTTTTGTAAATGTTGAATACATCAATTTTTTGTATAAAAAAAAAGAAAAAGAAAAAAAAAGAAAAAGAAAAGAAAAGAAAAGAAAATATACAAAAAATAAATTAAATTATTGAATTGAATTAAATTAAATTAAATTTAATTTGAGAAATGAAATTCTTAAGGAATTAAAATGTTCGATTTTATATATATGAACATTTATAATATGGTCAACCATAATAATTTGAACAAAATTGTTTTCTTCAAATAAAAATAATCAAATATTATGTAAAAGTTCAACTCTGATTATCCGAATATATGATGAACAAAGTCGTCTTCCCAATGATTATATGAATGAGATAAACAAAAAATTAAAAAGCTAAGTATTAAACTAATCTTTTTATTGTTGCATTGTTCGAAATCAACAATATCAGTGTCATCAATAGTGTGTAAATCTTCAAAAACAACGGATTTTAATATTCTTAAACCTTAAATCTTCAAAATCAATTGATTTCAATACTCTTAAACCCTAAAACCAATTGATTTCAACATTCTTAAACCCTAAATTTTAAAAACCAATTTATTTTGGATGTTTTATTTTGGATGTTTATGTTTGTAGGTGATAATGATGTTTAAAGAGTATTTTGTATTTTTATATATGAAATCTTTGAATGAGTAAAATACACCCCTATATTATTCGTAATAGTCTTTTCATTTGAGGATATTATTGAAATATAAATTTAATCTGTTAATGGTGTGTACTAAGAAAATTAATGTGTAAATAGAATTTCCCTTTAATCTTAATTAAACTAATATCATGATATTTATACACAAATAAACACAATTTATTTTATATTTCCAAATACCATCATATTAAAATTCCAATCATTTAATTTCTTCATACTCGTCATCTCAATCAACTTGCAATAATTAATAAAACCTACAAAGTGCTGATACTGCCACCTAGACAATTTGGTACAAAAGTGAGCAATATCACTTTTCACTAATAATAGAGATTCTTACCAAACATAATTTCACAATCTTCAAAATGATTTAAATTGTTTATATTACTGTCAGACAGAACTCTAAAAAAAAAAAAATTAAATATATTAATGATCAATATATCAATAAAGATTGTGAAGGTCCTCCTTTGTGAGTCCAAACATTTTCAGATTATACTTACCAAATTGGTTTAGTATTCCATCTGATGGGTCACAACTTGATTTGCATTCCGAAAAGCTTGATATCATCCAAACATTTTCCTATCACTTTCAGATTATACTTGCCAAATTGGTTTAGTATTCCATCTGATAGGTCACAAATTGATTTGCATCCCGAAACGCTTGATATCATCTGAGGGGTCACCATAGTCAATGACAAACAAATATATATCTTTTTGATATTCAAATTCGATCACTATAGTATTACTGTATATCACTTCAAAAATCACGTGAGTCTCTTTTAACTGAAGGGTTGACAAAGATGTCATTTCAAAAAAATAATAATAATAATAATAATAAAAATAAAAAATTTAAACATATATCTACTTAGAGTAAGTGATAAAAAATAAAGGAATTTTATTTTAGTGTGTGTTTAAAAATACACTTTTAAATTAGTGATAAATTTTATGAATATTAAAAAATAAAATCATAATTTTTTTATGAATATATAATTAATTTGGGTAAGTTACATTGGCGTCCCCTAAGGTTTACCTTAATTACAAGGACTTCCTCTACAGTTTCAAAAATAACACAGATCTCCCTTACTTTTGAAACTAATATACAAAGACCCTCTTCTATTATCTATCCGCCTAAATTTAAATAGATTATGCTGATATCATCCATAATTATTCTTCAAATTCAAATACTACCCTTCAGGGGAGGTAAGTGTAATTTACCCATATATATATATATATATATAAACACATACATTCTATCTCTCTTTCCTCTCACTCTCTTTATGTGCTCTGCATCTCTCTCTCTCACACCATCTCTCTGTGCTCTCTCTCTCTCTCTCTCTCTCTCACATCGGAAGTTTCTGCTGTTGTGTTGGACCCAAGCGGAAACCCTAGCTCTAATCGACGTCTACCGCAAACAGTGGTACACTCTCCGACGGGGCTACCTCCAGACTGACGACTGGGACACAGTGGCCGCCGCCGTCATCCTCTGCTACCCCAACGCCTCTCCTTCTAAAACCTCTGCCCAGTGCCGCCACAAGGCAGTGGAAATGCAGCATGATCAGCGATCCAGAGCTTAACAGCTTGGAATGCGACTTCGAACTGGTCGCATGTTCTTATTTTTTTCCCTTATTATTTTTTTTTGGTTTTATTGTTGTATAAGTTGCTTGATAACTGTTTGTTGACATACAATTGTGGTCGTGGAACTGATCGAACTTTTTGCTTGAATTGGTTCACTATTGAAAATGAAATAGAAAAGTAAAATTGAAAAATCTGAGTTTGGGTGAGGATGAGTTAGTTCACTATGCATATATATTTATATAAAAGTAGAATTGGAGAAGCTGAGTTTGGGTGAGGGTGAGTTGGTTCACTGTGTACATATATATATATATATATAGAAAAGTAAATTAGAGAAGCTGAGTTTGGGTGAGGGTGAATTGGTTCATTGTGTACATATATATATATATATAGAGAGAGAGAGAGAGAGAACGAGAACAGGGGTGAGAGTTTGCTTCTTCCTTTATGGTCGGACTAGTTTTTGGATAGTTGCTTCTTGAAAATTTTAATCTTTGTTGTGAAATATGATATTGGGTATTTGGAATTAATTTTCAATCTCTTAATTTCTATTCTTTTTAGATCTTTCTTGGAGGCTCTCTCTGTCTCTCTCCCCAATTCATTTCTTTTTTATTTAGTTTGTTCATGTTATGATTAACCTAAAAATGAATTTTTGATTAGGATTACCAAATTGAATTTTTCTGTGTGTTTGATTTTGTTTGTATGTGTTTGATTTGGTGTTTGTTGTGATTTAGGGATCTACCAAGCTGAGAGAAAGAGAATGGGGGTTGAAGGGTAATTGTGCCTTTTCACAATATGGTTCAAGGGTATTATGGTCAATTCAGCTGCCAAGTTAATTTCGTTCATGTTCTTGTTCATGTTCTTTTAACGAGAAGGGGGAATTTGTGTATTATTTTCAAAAGTCGGGGAGGTCAGTGTTATTTTTGAAATTATATGAGAAGTCCCTGTAATTAAGGTAAACCTCATGGGAGGTCAGTGTAATTTACCCAATTAATTTTTGAAGACTCCACTGGCATATAATTTTTCAAAAGAAAAAAAAATCACGTGAACAATTCAATTGAAAAAGAAAAAGAAAAAGAAAAAGAAAAAGAAAAACCACACTAAAATTTACCTAAAAGTGAATAATCTTCTCATCAATATCAGCACTATAATAGTTTTGGAGTTATATTAGCAAAATAAGGTTCAAAATCACTCTTGTATCAGCCTGACTACATCAAAACTAAATTTAATATTATTTTAGTATATTGCTTGATGTAGCGATACATTGTTCACATGTTACACAACATTTTATTATTTATTCTAGATAATGGCAAGAGGAAGGATGACAACCGATCAGACATCCTACCGGACAACCAGCTACTACACCAAATCTTCATATACCACCAAATTTGCTCTGTTTTCCTAGGGTCCAGTAGATCATGGGCAAAAGGATCCAGTATATCATTTACCTTAGAAAAAAATTAAATGAATAAAAATAAATATTTTACAAAATTAAAATTTTGAGAATAGAGAGACTCATATAGTGTATACATGTAGAAAAATGTTAGCTAAAATATAAAAATAATTTTTTAGTTATAATTTGATTAAGAATTTGCTAAGTTTAATGCAGATGCTATTACTTTAGGGGTGATGCTATGGTACATTTGGGTGAACCATACATCAGTTATGAGGATATATGATTTTATATTATAACTAATATCATATAGATCATAACTATTATCATATTAACTCATAACTTAGTTATATTTAGTTATTCATACATACCATATTATCTCATAACTACCATATAACTAAATTATTTTAATAATTTAATTTTGAATTGGCAACCGGTGTAATCAATTACCAAAAAGAGGGCAAGGGAAATCAGAGGAGTCTAGGGGTCCCAACATCACATATCTCATAACTACTAGTCACATATCTCATAACCACTAGTCACATATCTCATAACCAACACATTTTTTTCATAACCAACATCACATATCTCATAACCACTAGTCACATATCTCATAACTAACACCATTAACAACACCACTTTGTTCATAACCAATATCACGTATCTCATAACCATTGATCACATATCTTATAACTATTATCCACATGAATCATAACCGCATCTCATAACCAACCCCTTTGACTCATAACCAACATCACATATCTCATAACCACTAGTCATATATCTTATAACTAACAATCCTTTTGCTCATAACTACACCATTTTGATCATAACCAATATCTCATATCTCGTAACCACTAACACATATAGTATAACCAAACACCCTTTGACACCACTTTGTTCATAACCAAAATCACATATCTTATAATCACTAATCAAATATCTCATAACTATTACCCACATATCTCATAACCAACATCACATATATCATAATTACTAATCACATATCTCACAACCACACCACTTTGATCATAACCAACATTGCATATCTCATAACCACTAATCACATATCTCATAACCAAACACCCTTTGACTTATAACTATATCACTCTGCTCATAACCAAAATCACATATCTAATAATCACTAATCATATATCTCATAACCTTTACCCACTTATGTCATAACCACATCTCATAACCAACACCATTTGCCTCATAACCAATATCACATATATCATAAGCACTAATCACATATCTCATGACCATTACTCGCATATAGGGGTATAAATTTGGCCCACGGGCTCGCAGCACACCCAAAGTCCAGAAATTACTCTCTCTCTCTCTCTCTCTCTCTCTCTCTCTCTCTCATTTGGGCTAAAGAAAGGGTCTAGGGATTTGTCAAAAACAATTAATGAGGGGATTTTGATTTTGACAAAATTTGAATGTTTGTTCCAAATTTTTGGAGAACATGGGGCCGAAATTATGTAATAATTATTATAAAAAATAAAATTAAAACATTTATGAATAGAGTCTTATAATAAAATAAATTATTAATTTATAATTTTGTCAATTTATACTTAAATTTTTTTTATTTATTTTTAATATAAATCCTTCATCCATTTTTATTAAGTAAAATTAATAAAATAGATTATTTTACTCATAAACTACAAAATGTATAGTCACACCATTAACTGGCGTAATAAAAATATTTAAAATTTTAAAAACCACAAATATCGTAATCAAGTCACAAAGTTTTGTAATATAAAACACAAAATACAGAACGCCATCACTAATTGGCGTAACAAAATTGTTTAAAATTATAGTAAATCATAAATGTCATAACTAATTTCCAAAATTTCGTAACATTAACCAAAAATTATGTAACTATCTAGTAATTGGGGTAACAAAAACATCTGAAAATTTTAAAAACCACAAATGTCATAACCAACTCACAAAAATTAATAACATCAACTACAAAATGCGTAACTGTACCACTAATTGTCATACTAAAAATAATCAAAATTTTTACAAATCACAAATGTCATAATCAACCCAAAAAATTTCATAACATCAATCACAAAATGCGTAATAACACAACAAATTGATGTAGTAAAAATATCCAATTTTTTTATAAACCACAAATATTATAATCAAGCAACAAAATTTCATAACAATTATCATAAAATGACTAAACAAATCACTAAAAATCTTAGAATCACCAATTAGGATCTCTCATAATACAGAGAAAACAAAATATAATGACAATCATTAAATAATTTAATCAACGACTTAAAGTCATGGAACAAAAAATGAGAGATAGGTGATCAATTGGTGAATTTAAAAAAATTATCTATGAATTTAAAAAAAATATTTAGTATCTTCATAGATAATTTTTTTCAACATGTTTTAAAAAGTATATCGTTTGTATATTACTATTTCTATTATATTTAATGAAGATACTATGACTAAAAATAAATCTAAAATAGAGATAGGTGATCAATTGCAATTCTCAGTTAGGAATGACACTTCAAAATTAATTGAGAGAGTTGAGAGTTCAGAGATAATGAACGTTTGAGAGATAGAATTGTTTGTGAGAAATAAAATAAGAGAGGGGTGGTATTTATAGGACTTGGGAGAAAAGAATTGATTTATATATATATATATATATAAAATAAAATAAAATTGGTTGTTGGTGGAATTAACAGTTATATGACTATTTCAATTTTTTTTATTTTAAATTTTTGACCGCTGCACTAACAAGGGGGCAAGGAACTGTTGGGGTTGGTTCGGGGTTGAGCTCACGAGATGGGTCACACTCCATAACACACCAGAGTCAGGCCGAGCTCTAGAACACATAGCCCAGGGTCTTAGATTGGGCTTAGGCTCAGGCCTAGTTGGGCCTACCCAAGGTGCGACTGCACTTAGGCTGTGCCGCAAGCTCATGGGCCAAATTTACACCCCTATATGTGGGTAGTGGTTATGAGATATGTGATTAGTGGTTATGATATATGTGATGTTGGTTATGAGGCAAATGGTGTTGGTCATGAGATGTAGTTATGACATAAATGGGTAAAAGTTATGAGATATATGATTAGTGATTATTAGATATGTGATTTTGGTTATGAGTAGAGTGGTGTAGTTATAAGTCAAAGGGTGTTTGGTTATGAAATATGTGATTAGTGTTTATGAGATATGTAATGTTGGTTATGATCAAAGTGGTGTGGTTATGAAATATGTGATTAGTAATTATGATATGTGTGATGTTGGTTATGAGATATGTGAGTAATGGTTATGAGATATTTGATTAGTGATTATAAGATATGTGATTTTGGTTATGAGCAAAGTGGTGTCAAAGGATGTTTGGTTATACTATATGTGTTAGTGGTTATGAGATATGAGATATTGGTTATGGTCAAAGCCGTGTGGTTATGAGCAAAATGGTTGTTAGTTATGAGATATGTGACTAGTAGTTATGAAATATGTGATGTTTGTTATGACTCAAAGGGGTTGATTAGGAGATGTGGTTATGATTCATGTGGGTAATAGTTATGGGATATGTGATCAATAGTTATGAGATATGTGATATTGGTTAGTATCAAAATGGTGTGGTTAAGAGCAAAAGGGTGTTAGTTATGAGATATGTGACGTTTGTTATGAAAAAAAAAGGTGTTGGTTATGAGATATGTGACTAGTGGTTATGAGATATGTGATGTTGGTTATGACTCAAAGGAGTTGGTTATGAGATGTGGTTATGAAATGTGTGATTATGGTTATGAAATATGTGATATTAGTTATGAATAAAATGGTGTTGGTTATGAGATGTGGTTATGACTAAGTTATGATCAATTTGATTTTAGTTATGAAGAAATATGATTTTGGCTCATAACTATAAAAAGTGACCTGTTAAATAAAAAGTGACCTATTTAGCAGTTCACTTTTAATAATATGGCTCAATCTTAACCATTAATTTTTTATGTATCGTACATTTTTAACAAAATGTACTATAGACTTTCCATCAGGAACCAAACATGCCCCAAGTAGGCCAGGTAAAGCTGACTAGAAACTAGTATAAAATAAAAAGATACTTACGTGTAGGTCCTAATAAGTGAATTTATTGTCTAATAGGCCTTATGGAAAAAATTTGTCATAAAAAAATCACTAGTTGTAAGTTTTAACGACAATTTATAAAAATCATGACAAAAAAAGTCATTAATTGCCAATTTTTAGCGACGTATGTAAAAAATTGTCACAAAAAAATTATTTTTAACGATAATTTTACCAAGACTTATTTTCAATAAGACTTAATAAAAATTAAGTTTAACTATTAAGACCTATTAATAATTTATCCTAAAATTTATAAATAGACCCAGCACTCCAAATTCAACTTCCAACAGCTCCCTTTGTTTTGTGTTCACCTGCCTCCTCAGACTCTCTCTCTCTCTCTCTCTCTCTCTCAATATGGGAAACAAACCTGTCAAATACTGCGTGGTAATCGTCTCTCTCTCTCATCTTGATTTTGTGCTTTTTGTTGTTGTTGTTGTTGTTGTTGTTGTTGTTGTGTGTGACTCACTGATTTGAGTTATGGAATTAGGTAGACACGTTCACCGACTCACCGTTCAAAGGAAACCCGGTGGCTGCATGTTTGTT